ACAAGGACAATGGACAAGGACAAGGACAAGGACAAGGGACAAGGACAAGGACAAGGACAAGGACAAGGACAAGGGACAAGGGACAAGGACAAGGACAAGGACAAGGGACAAGGACAAGGACAAGGACAAGGACAAGGACAAGGACAAGAACAAGAACAAGAACAAGAACAAGAACAAGAACAAGAACAAGAACAAGAACAAGAACAAGAACAAGAACAAGAACAAGAACAAGAACAAGAACAAGAACAAGAACAAGAACAAGAACAAGAACAAGAACAAGAACAAGAACAACAACAACAACAACAACAGCAACAGCAACAGCAACAGCAACAACAACTACAACTACAACTACAACTACAACAACAACAACAACAACAACAACAACAACACCAACAACAGCAGCAGCAGCAGCAGCAGCAGCAGCAACAACAACGACATTAACGACAACAACAACAACAACAACAACAACAACAACAACAACAACAACAACAACAACCACGACAACAACAACAACAACAACAACAACAACAACAACAACAACAACAACAACAGCAACAGCAACAGCAACAGCAACAGCAACAGCAACAGCAACAGCAACAGCAACAGCAACAGCAACAGCAACAGCAACAGCAACAGCAACAACAGCAACAACAACAACAACAACAACAACAACAACAACAACAACAACAACAACAACAACAACAACAACAACAACAACAACAACAACAACAACAACAACAACAACAACAACAACAACAAAGGCGGTGCCCTTCCAAGGACACCCACACCCAGACCCATGTGGACTCCATGGTTTTTTGCCAAAATCTTGGGTTTTCCAGCCAGCTGGGGGCTAAAGATCGAGTTGGGCGCCGGTGGCGCATGAGACGAACAAATGGCAGGGCTGCGACTTCGAGATGCCGGAGGCGGTGACCTCCCTGGTGCGGAACTGCGTGCCCCGCGCCAACGTGCCCTGTGCGGCGGCCGCCCAGGCAGTGCAGGAGCTCTATGGGGATGTGGCGGCCCCTTGGCGGAAGGTGCTTCGACCAATACCCCACCAAAAGACTTGGGGTTGCCCCTACATGGGTTGCAGAGAGGGCCCCTCAATCAGAAACCAAGGGGTATATTTGTCTTTATTGACCAGGGGGGGGGAGTTGGGGTGGGGTGGGTGGATTGGCACGGTTTCGCGCGCCTCTCCCGTCTCAGGTTCTGGTGCGCGACAAGGCGGGCGAAGCAGCTTAAAACGAGAGGTAAATGGGTGTGGCTCAGAATTAAACAGCTGGGGTTACGCAGGAAAACCCCTTTCCTTTTGCTAGGGCTCCATCTTGGACCCCATTTTTTTGAGCCACACCCAAATGAGCCCGTTTTACAGAAGCGGAAATGCTGGCATATTGCAAGCGACGCGACCACTTGGTTTTCATCCTGCTTGGGGCTCCTGTACGTCAACTTGCCCATTTGTTGTTTGTCGAACGATGGTCAAAGAGGGCAGTGCATGAGCCAAAGTCCTGTCAGGCCTGTTTGTGGAAATGCATCCAAGTTGCTTTCAGTTTTTCGGACAAGAGTTTGAGGTGGCTGATTGCGCATCAAACAACGCTCTCATCCCACGTGAGACTGCCTCATGCTGTTGATAGTGGGGTTGCTGCATTTTCTTTCTGTTTTGGTGGGAGGGGTTGGTTGGGTGGACTGGGCCCATCAAGTCTTGGTCAGGCACATGGATCGGTGCTTTGGGGTCAGGGCCCACAACGAGACATGCTGCGATGATTTCCTTCCCTCCCCGAAATGGGAGGCTAAAAAGCGCAGCAAGTTGGTTCTGCCAGGTGTGTGGCCCGACCCAGACAGAGCAGTATGGTCCAGACAGAGCAGTATGGTCATATCCACGTCCATGATTCTCATGGACATGGCTGGGGTAGACTCAGGATACATTTTACATTTTACATGTGACTCAAAGTGAAGCCAACAATAAAATCAATAAAATATACATTCTATAACTGGTCCCCACTCTAATCATGGGTGGCCTTAGGGGGTACTCATATCCTAGGCCACCCATGGCTTGCCTTCTTCCCCGCCAGGCCCGGGCCTGGGGGGTGCTGGCGCCCGCTGCGCCGGAGCCCATCCGCACCACGCGGCCCGGGCAAAAGAAACGACGGGACCGGGGCTGACACCGGGAAACCGAGCCGAGGCACCGCGATGTCAATGCAAACATCTTCCAAAGGGAAAGTTGTCTTCCCCCCCACTCTGTCAGCTTCAAGGTTGGAGGGTGTTGCAGTCTGTGGCCTTGGTGAAGCCAGCCGCCGAGCAGAACTTGAGGTCTGTTGTTGAGCAACGCCACGCCACGGCATCCCAAAATAGGTGGTGGTTTGGATTGGCGGCTTGCGCTTTGGCTTGGTAGACGCTTTGGCATTGCAAGCCGGCAGGGCCAATGTGCTGAAATGTTGCATCCCCGAAGCCCATGATCATGTGGCCCCACAGTTTGTGAATCAGGGATGTTTGCAAGGCGGGTTGATTCAGTCTGCATTCCAGCTCATTCCGGATGTGCCCAGGGTGCATGCTCGCGACAGCTCCTGAGAGTGCTTGAATCGGGCCTTTGGGCGCCAAAGTCTCACATTCCAAGGCCTTGAGCATTGGATCGAAAATGAACTCGTGTGCTAGAATTGCTGGCCAGGGATCGGGAGATGGAGCTCGTGAAATGCAAGGAGGCTCCTGCTCGGCCATTCCCCGGTCCCAGCTAAGCGGCTGGGTCTCAGATGTTGCAGGTGCATACAAACAAAGCCCCTGCTGGGGCGCCCATTGCGGCAATTCAGTTGCCAAGACTGGGCTCATTGCTTTTTGCAGCGAGACCTGTCAAGGCTGAGAAGGCCGAACGCGGAAAGGAAAATGGCGCCATGGCAGCGCACGTGAGAAAGGTTTGTGCTTTGCATGTTCAGGGAAGTAACGGGAGCGTAGGCGAAGACATCCTGTCAAAATGTTAGCTTCACTCACAGGGTATTTGCATCTAAGTTTACAGCGGATCGCCGGGAACCTATGGACATTGCCACATGGCCACTTGCGTGTTTTTTTTCACTTGGGAACCTCTTTTGCCCGCTTGTACTTTTAGATTCTAGTCTTATATGCTTGGGCGTGCATGGGCAGGAACAACCAGCCAATTGCGCAGGAACAATCAACCAAGATCCAAAGTGCCAGGAACATCGTTTGCCAGGCAGAAATAGCTTCACCACACATTTGTCGAGTGGGAAGTTGCTGCCCTGCATCCAATGGTGAGCCAACCAGCTACTAGATCCACTGGGTTAGCTGGAGGCAGCGGGTGGCAGCTGGCATCAGCTGGCTGAGGCAAAATTTTATTTGCACCCGCAAGATATCCCTACAAAGGCACATCTTTCCCTACATTGAAGCGAGGCAGGGGGCCTTCCAAGTGGGGGTTGCCAACAGGTCAGGTGACTTCGTGACTTCGTGACTTGGTGACGGGCAAAACGGCCTGTCGAGCCTGAGGAGGGACTCTCGGGGACAGGGCCTCAGGGCGTATGGCCCCGAGGTGCGCAGCACCACGGGCTACGGCGGCTTCATCCAGCTGAGGGCGCAGGATGAGAGCGGCCTCTGGCACAGCGAGCGGAAGCTGCGGCTGGCCCAGGACGGGTCCCCGCTCGTCCGCTCCGTGGCGCTGGGCCCAAGCGTTTCAAGTGTTGCGCCAGTGATCCGTGAGAAGAGCGCGCGTGAACTATGGCCCGGCCCTGTTATGTCACCACGGCTTTTAATGAATTGTGGGATCCATTAAGGGGGTGCGTGGCTGCCGGCCATCGTTGCAACAATGGTGGACACGGCAGGATATTGTTTTTGTTCGCTGTCACCTATTACGGCCAGCAGTTCATTTTTAGCGCACACACACACACACACTTTTCAAGGTTGCCCCAGCACTGTTTGGCAATGAGATACTGTTCGTTTTTATTTTTGCGCGTGGCTCTTGCTGCTATCACGAAGTGATGGCACCAGGGCAGGGAGCCTTCGCGCATATGCTGAGATGTCAGGATCCTTTCCAGTTCGAGCTGATTCCAGGCCTGGTTAACATGGCACGCAGGCTTGCGCCATGTCCCAAGTTCGTTGCATGGCATTCAGCAGGCCGACAGGCCACCTTCGGAGTTGGTTATGCAAGGCATTTGAGGCCTCTCGCCCGCTTCCACTCACTCCAGGTGATTGGGGCCCCTGCCTGGTGCAGGATTGCAGCAATTTCAGCCTGGGCGAGAGGAGCGGGCATCTCGAGTCGCAAGGCAACACATGGTTGGCGTTTCCATTTGTGGGAGGTCACAGGTAGTTGCTTGGGATGTGGTCCTGGTATCTGTTTGCAGGTGGCCTTAATGCATGCACATCGCGCAATACATTGTGCGGAGCCTTGCGCCAACAAGATGTGTTTTCTCGTCATTCAAACTGGACATAAGTCGTTTTCAAGGGCATGAGCGCTGTGAGCCACCAGACTCTCAGGCAGTGTTGTGCATTCAATGTCGGTGGGGTCGACAAGTCTGAGTGAAACATGCCCATCGTGCAGGACGCGGCATTTTCAGTGCCAGGGGATGGATGGCAACTTCTACTCCACGGACTGCCAGTGGCTCTTGTTGCCTCAAGCGAAAAGACGAGAGCCCCTGCCAGGACCTCTGTGACACCTTGTGCGTGGATTTGCTGGCAGACTGGAGGGACAAAGATGGCGAAAGATGCTCTTCTGCATTCATGTTTTGAAAGTCACTCTTGGCACAGCTGCAAGTAGCAGATGGGGTCGTTCAAGCCACCTAGTTTTGCTTCAAATTTTGGACCAGCCAGCTACGATCCAACTATCCATGCATACCAGAAAGCATTTTGGTCAAAGTCCCTCTTTGCTCCGTCCTTTTTATGCTTGCTGCAAAAGGCAACACCCCGCCCAAGGCTGTGCTGCCTATGGCAGCAGGGGCTGGTGTTCCGACGGGTCCTATGGCGCAGGCGCGGCCTGAGGCGCTCTGAGTACGGGGGCGCCTTGCCCTTAGGCCAAACGCGTCTATTTGTTGCATTTTCTCAGTTTGAGGGCGAGATTGTCGCGGTTAACACTTGTGTTAAAAGTAACAACCGATAGCGGAAGGCATTTGAATCACACTCAGATTCGAACCTTGAGTGCCTGCAGGATGACACTGCTTGATTCATGCTCCGTTCGCCATTTTGGCGAATTAGCCAAATTTTTCTTTTTCTTTCCGACCTACCTGCCCTGCCTGCTCGACCGCCATGACTGCTCCAGCGAATTTCGCATCCATCGTGGAGGAGTACCAGCTCATGGAAATGACCGAGCTCGACCCGGATTATGAACGACTGTACCGGGCCCTTCAAGACCATCTTTCGATCCTGCCCGAGGCGGTCGGTCCGGGCAACATCTTGCAGGGCAATCAGGTCTGCAACCATTTCATCAACCATTCCGGCTGCAGGGGACGTGCACCTGCCTCTGCCCACCAGTGCGCCTTTTTGCATCCGGAGTTCGTTGATGCGCGTTGGATGCCGCGAGACAACATTTGTTACCGACATCTTCGACAACAGGCCCGACATCCAGAAGGCTTTTGCGACAGTGGTACCGAATGCCGCCATGTTCACAGCGACTCAGTCCTGCATGGTGACCTTCTTGCCTGGCTGCGCTTCGTGCACCATGCCAGACCCAACACCGGCGTGGGCATCCACTATGACACAGCCCACCGTGAATGGCGCTTTGTGTCCAGGCGGGAGGCCTTTGAAATCCTCCGCGACCACCTTCACGGCGAGTGGAACACGCCCACTCACCACACGAACGTTCGGTACCCCGATCCGTGCACCTACCAGATGCCATACGCGGTACCACGTGGCCCGCCAAGCACATTGAACCCGTCTCGCCAACGGAACAACACCCCCCGACAGCAGCGAGGCCGCTCCACACAACCGGGATACTCCCGAGCTATGACACCACCGCGGACCGTCAACTTCGCGACACCCACGGCTCGCGACACTCCCAGACAGGCCCGATTCCCGGAGGCGACCACCACATCGACCGGGCCCGTCCCGCACCACATGCCTTCACCACGCCCGCAACCCACCACACCATCCAAGGCGGCACCCCCCACACCATCCAACCAACATCACGACTTAGTCCAGTGGCTCCAGCCGCCAGGCATCGACCGTGACGACAGCACACAAGGCCTGCTGTCAACCCAGCGGGCCGGACACATCCGCGCGCGGGTACACGAAGATGCCACCTTCCTGATCAATCCGGAACTGCTACCGGAATTCCCCTCCGTCCTCGACCACATCGGCTTGCAATGGCACCTGACCAACTACGGCATCTTCTCGCGCACCCCCACCAATGTGTACGGCAATGACTTCGGGGGCCTTTTTCTTGTACCCGTGGAACCAACTACGCAGGTCACACCTCTCAGGAGCCTGCTGCGCTGGATTATCCAGCAACACGTTCACCAACAACTCCAGCTGCTCAACAGCGCCAACCGGCAGCACATGCTACAACAACTGACCTGTTCCTGGCTTACCTTCGGGAGGCAGCTCTGTCGCGCCTCCCGGCGAGACCCTTTTGTGGACAACATGGCAATCACCTTCGGGGAGACCATCATTGAGACCATTTCCAATTTCCTGACCCCCGAACAACGCACCATGGCGACCATCGAGGGCATCCTGCTCGGCCCCGACGGACACCTGCGCTTCAACCGGGAGCTCTAAGACTGAGCAGAGCCAGGACTCCCGCTACTGACCAGGCGGCACCGAGGAGCCCCCAAACCAGCTACCCTAAGTTGACCCACCAAGTCCATGTCCCGTGCGATGGTGGGCCAGCAATAGGGCGATGACCCTCATACCGCACAGGTGACACCCATGCCTAGGCGACCGCCTGAGGCCCCCTTTTCCCGAAGAGAGATCCATCTTCGGACCGCGCAAAAGCGCTGAGTGCCTCGAGCCCGGGTCGACCCTCTTCGTCCCCCCTGTTTGATTCGAGAGGATACCCCTTGACAAACCGACCCACTGCTGAGGCCCATTCTGCGGTGACCAATCCCCACTCGCCTGCCCCGAACCCGACCGGTCTTTCACCCCACTTCGGATCCCCTGTGGATTACCCTCGGTTTCTTCGGGTCGGATCCCTGATGACAAACTGGCCGACCCCGGTCACCTTCACACCGCAGGGAGTTGGTCCTACGGGACAGCTCCACCCCTCGGGATGACATTTGTGCCGGTGTGGCGTGTCATCTAACACGACGTTTGTGCCGGTGTGGCGCGTCGTATAACACGACGTTTGTGCCGGTGTGGCGCGTCGTACAGATCCCCCCCATCAACGGGCCATCCTTGGACCCGAGTCACCAAGACACTCCCCCCTGGCCCGACCAACCCCCCCCCCTTGACTCACACCCGGCACACTACCGACTCCTGCGTGAGTTCGGCAAGCGCCACCTCCAATTCCGAAGGAATTTTCAGGCTGGCTTTTGTGTATCCGATATCGCACCCCCTTCGCACAACATGGCACTTCGCGAGACCGACGCAGTCTGCGAGCTCCTCCTGCGGTCCTACAACACCGGCGTCCTCTCGAGGTTCCAGACCTTCCGCACCGAGAATCCCCGCCTCTCCACCACGGACGCGATCGACCTCTTCATGGAGTCGACCAACACCGAGCCGGACACACGGACACGCTACCTGCTGCTGGACTGGCACAACCTGAATCCAACACCAGCCACACTGCAGTGCTCGTTCTGCCAGATCCCATACCAATCCCAGTACATCATGCCCCTCTGCTTCTCAGAGGAAACCGACTGGCGAAACAAGTGGGTCGGGGCGTGCTACGGGTGCGCTACCTGCGACACCAGTAGCGTGCCATGGTTCCAGTTCGAGGAGCTCCTGGCCGACCCGAACTCCCTGATTGCAGAACACGCACCGTACAACACCATCGCAGAGCACCCCGACCTCGCGGCCATGATCAGCGACCATACCATCGCCCCACCGACCTTACAGATTGCGGTGCCAGAGACGGACGACGCTCACGACGCCTACATCACCGTGCACAGGTGGGACCAGGTCAACCGCCGCTGGATCAGGGTACCAGCCCTCGACGTGAAGAACCGCCGGCCATTCACCCTCGAGGTGTTCAGCAAGCTGTGCCGACGAGCATGGCGACGCCGCTTGGACTACATGACCAACAAGGCCGTCGGCACCATCCGCACGAACACCCACATGGACATGATGGACTCCTTGCGCGAGATCCACCCCGGAACCTCCAACAACAACCTGCGCCGCCTCATCAGCGACCACTCCAAGTTCCTCGCCGAAACCATGTGCCTCGACCTCATCAACCTGGCACCCGAGGACCGACGAGACCTTTTCCTCATGTTCCACAAATGGGAGAGGCAGCACCTCACCGAGGCATTGCGCGCAAACAGCACCGGGACCCTCCTTGAGTTCTTGGACTCTGACGACTATCCCACACACCTCACCGATTTCATCACCCGCGTCCTCCCGTCCACCGACGAGCACTTTATCTGCCGACGTCAGTCGTGCAAAGCGGTGGTACATTCGTCACATTGGCTGCGCGCCACCGCCAACATCACCGAGCACGGCCAGTTCTTCTGTCCCGAGTGCCTCCAGCAATACCACCCCTGGAAAACCTACAGTGACGCCAAAGCCGCATCCCGAGGGGAGGCCCTGACCGCAGCCGGCCAAGACGACACAGAACGCTTCGTGCCGGCCCAGAAGTGCCTCGTGGTACGCGCCACCGCTGGAGCACACGAGACGGACCAATTGGCAGAGGCCATCACCGGCGACGACGACCGGCGCTACATGCTCTACCTTCTTCGCTGGGAGGAGGACACGACCGGCAAGCTCATCCAACAGATGAAGGTCCACATCAACGAGATCGCATCCGACCTGCGACAAGCCAAGGACCCCCGCGCCTATCTGGCCGACATGATCATGAACAACATGCAGACGGCTCAGAAACTGCCATACATGCACAGGACCTTCTGGACCCAAGAGAAGCTGGAGCAAGTCGCCCAGCGCAACCTGGGACGCATCAAGCCACTCCGAGTCGACCTGCTCCCCAGCCAGAAGCGACAACGCCACCAACCCGCCACGCCCTTCTACGACATGCGGCGCTATCGCTACGACCCCAGTTCCACCCGCATCCTTGAGTCCTCGGACCTCGCCAGAGTGATGGGGCTGTGCTTTTGCCGCCTCAAGCTCTGGACCTGCCAAGACCTCGAGGGGGCGGACCGTCTCAACCACCTGAGCGCCCTGTGACGGACCTCGACCAGCACCGCAACCACTACGACCCGAAGGGCGTCCGTGTCCCGCGCGAGCCCGGAGGGTCCGACCAACGCGGTTGCCTTCGCACGACCCATCTTCCTGAACCTGCCGCCGAAGTGCAACCTCGTTTGGCGGTACGTCAGGACACCCGTGCAAAGAGCAAAAGGCGCACCACGTGTTTGAAGCCAAACACCCCTAAATCCCCCCGAACTTTTGCTCACCCTGATTGTTTGCATTGTGCTTTAGTCTCCACGTGTGGCAAACCTTTGATACATTTGACATAGCCATTTTTGGCCCCTCTCGGCCCTTGATACAGATCACCCCGAGATGACGTTCCGTGATATTCGAGCATGGCTACACCAGCGGTCCTTGCTGGCGATCGCCCCGCTCGTTGCCCTAGCCGGAATAGACGACTTGGCGACATTCCGCAACATGGACCGGGCTGCATTGGTGCGGATCGGCGTGCCACACGACCTGATCAATCGACTCCTGGGCGACGACCAACTGGTCCTTGACTACATGCCCCCGGTCCGGCGCGACATCCAACCATATCACACCACACGACACGGCTCTCTCAACAGAGCCATTGCGGCGGGAGCGCCTACCTCACGCGAGCAGGCCCTACAACTCCTAGAAGACGAGACATACGCACCCTCCAGCCGAGACCCCAGATTAGCACGCTGGAAGACTTGGTG